CCTCGCCCTCCGCCTTTGGGTTTTCTTTTGGGTTTTCCTTCGCAGAGGTGGGATCGGGGAGGGGCCCACCCAGGGCCGGCCGAGGGGTTCCCGTTCCATGTGGGGATCGATGGGCAGCGCTGGGCGCTCGCACGGCCCCGGCTCTGTTTGTCAGCTCGGGGGGGTCTCCCTTGCTGGAACTTTGTAGGTGAAAGGAGTCATAAGTCGACCCAGGAGAGCGTGTGTTTTAACCTGAATTACCGCATGACCTTGGCTGAATCCGAGCTTAAGCCAAGATTTAAATGCGAAGTAGTTCTTGTATGAGGAGTCTTCCAGCCTCTTGTAAGACCCCAGATACACTTGCTGGAGAAAAACCAGAGAAAAGGCTTCAGTATACTTCCCAGTACCTCTTAGTGTTGATTTGGATGATCCGATGTGTTCCACTTTCTCCACGCGCTTACCTGGTGATCTTTTATATTAAGGCTTGCACGCACATAATAAGTGTTCTTTACAAAGAAAACGGTTTTTTTCCCCTACAATCGGGTGAAAGCAGCATTTGCAGCGAGCCGCCATGTTTCCAGTGTGTGCTATTTTTGGCGAGCCCGTGCTCTCACAGCTAGGAGTGACAGCTTTAGGAAATGTGGACACTGCTACCAAGCTTTGGAAGCTGATGCTTCCAGGTGCCATAAATCAAACGTGGGGAGTGCGTGTGTGCTGGATTGTTCTTAGCCAAGAAGACTTTTTAGATTGATGTCATAAAGGGAAATGCAGAAGTTGACAGACGAAAACTGCATCTCACCTTTTCTAAAGTCTTCCCTTTGACTAAATTTTCACTTTTCTTATTCACTCTCTGTAAAGAATAAGCCAAATGATTTTGCTAGAGCTCTGTGATACTTCAGTGATGCTGGTTGCTGGCATATTCTCAGCCTGTGAATTGAACTCACCTTTTTTGAGGTGTTTCAGTCAGTATATGTAATGTTGTCAAGCTGTGAGTCTAGTTTTAAAAGAAAAAACATTAGTGGATTGCATATATCGCTAAATTGAAGGCTGGCTGTACATATTCACATGCATAGGATCTTAAATCCTTGTCTTTATGATGGAGATCTCACGACCTTTTTGATAGCATCACGTGTTCCAGGGACTAGTTTGCCTGAAAGGCAGTGTTAAAACCTGCTAGAAAATGTAACTGTATAAAGTCTCTTAGAAAAATAATTAAAGCAACTTTGGAACCTTCGCAAATGTGTTTCTTATTTTTATACATTAAATACAGTAAATTTATACGTTTACATACAGTAAATGTTTTTTAAAATCTTAAAAAGTCTTGTATGCATTAGATGGTAAACAGTGGCCTCCAGTTCTTGACTGGTGGTAATTGGGCAACTGCCTTTTTTGGTAGGTTTTGTTCTTTTAAGTGTGAACTCCTTAAGTTGAAGACTTGGATAATTGAAATCAAAGTTGTAGACCTGGTGGACAAGACTTTGTCTGTGTGGATCAAGTGCACACATCAGGATCTTCTGTAGAGATCCTTTGCATTTGCAGTCTAAGAAACAACAAAATGTACAAGAATACTTGTGTGTATTGTGATTGCAGGACCACTGCTCTGCTGCTCACTTTGCTGCTGGCACAGTGGCACTGGTGGAGTTCAACATAACTGATGAAGTTTGAACATCTTAGTTATAAACAGAATCTTTGCCACTGAGCCAGCAGCAAAGTGAGCAGCAGAGCAGTGGTCCTGCAATCACAATAC